TTTGCAACCATTAGATCATTAATTCATAAATTTGATCAATGAACATAAATTGGTCTTACGGGTCTCACGAAAAACCCTTGGTCTTACGTGAACCCAATCCTATATATATATATATGTATATATATATATATATGTATGTATATATATATATATGTATGTATATATATATATATATATGTACTTTGTACAATTAAGATTGTACATTTACTTAAGTTAAAATCTTTAATTAAAACCACCTAATTAACCACTATAAATTAATTATAGTGTTTAATTGGTTGCAACTATTAAATCAAAACCTAATTTGATGTGCCACACCTTACCTAAACCTACAAGTTTCAAAACATAATGAGTCAAATCTTTACTTATACACAAATCAATCATATTAAAGTTTGACCATATGAATATAAAGATATTGTGTGATGATTGTTTATATATTTTTATTTTTAATTTTTATTGTTAACTAAATACTTGAATGCCAATTGACTATGGAATTAAAGTTTTACTTTAATTACAAACTAGTTTTCTAACCGCGCGTTGCGCGGTAACGATAATATCATCTTCAAAAGAAATGTTATAGACTAAATTTGAAGTACTATTCTAAAAAAAAAATTAGACAAATGTGAGTGACAACTACTCATTAACATTAAAAAAATCTAAGAGGATTTGACAACAATCTTAGAACCATATGCTAATTTAAGTTATCTAACTATGTTTGAGAATCGTGTTGCAAAGTACTCTACAAATGTTTGACTAATGTTAGTAGTTTGTCTAATTAAAAGTCACAGTTTTAATTGAAATCTCATCTAAGGTGACAAAATCACGATTTTAATTTTATAACAAATTTAATTGAAATCTCATTTTTGAAGTTACGACAAAGAAATGTTCTATAATATTTCTAGTGGAAATTAAAGCAGTGCGTAAGTTGTAGAACAATAATGGAAGTCCAATACGATGCATGAAGAACCACATCATCAAGCTAAGAAAATGGATTTTTCTGATAAAAAATAAAATTAATATCAAGTGGGGTCGATGACCCACATATTAGATATAATATTTGAATTGTAATTAGAGGGGTGTGTCAAACCGTGATAATATTAACATCAAGACGACAGATAAATAATTACCTCATGTTGTCAAATTATCATCATTGGTTTCACTTTTATATTTGTACTATAATTTTTACCATTTAGTTGGTTTCTTATACACCTTACTTTGTTCAAAATTTTTAACTCTTCACCAATGTGGAACAACTAAAACTCAACCACAATTCACCATTTGAGAATACTCAATTCTCATTGTACCACCTCAATACCCTCAAGGTTTTACTTTTGTAATTGTCATGGTATCACCTCATCACCCGAAGGTTGTACTTATATATATATATATATATATATATATATATATATAATATAATATAATTAATTTTGCACTATAATTTTTATCATTTGGTTGATTTGGTTCTAACCATGGTTAT